AAAACCTGACAATTTAATAGCAAGGAAAATTAGCAATCACGTTATCAAAAAGAGTTAACTGAAATACTCAATATTAAGCTGGACGAACCTACGTGATCATAGCACGCTACAGTCAGGCCCACCAGCGGCCGAGCGATAGAGTCGCTGAACACTGTGAACACTGATTGTTCGGTCCGAGGTTCGAATCCTGCGAACGGGCTGGCTGCATGGGAATTTTCGAGGCTTTCCCCGTGTGTAACGCGTAAACGAGCCAGTTTCCCTTAAAAAGGCCTCCGCGAAGGTGCCCCTCCCCTTAGATGCTGTCGAGTGCTTTCCCTTAATTAAATAAACCCAAACCACACACTACGGTCAGTTCCTTAAGCACAGAGTCAAATCATTAAAACTGGAGAAGTGGTCTTGTTTTTTTTGGGAGGGGGGTTGCAGAACTGTTCAACGTTTCTCCAGTTTTAATGATCTGAGAGGTTGCTTTAATATTCATTCCTCGCAAAATTGCGGGCAGTTCCACTGGAAAATTCCTTTATTGCCGCACTGACAACATACTGCCGCTCCAAGGTGATTGCTAAATGTATAATTGTATAACAAGATGGAAAATTCTAGCATTAATATAGCACCACGACATTTGTTTAATTTTAGTTTAATTTTTATTTATTTATTTTTACATATTTTGGGCATAAAAATCTTTTAATAAAACGTTTAGCTGTCAAGGAAAAATTTCAGCATTATTTTTTTTTAACTTTAATTATTTAATCATTAGGATTTTTGCTTTTTTTTAAAGCTTGAATCTTCTATAAATTTTATATATGCATTAAAGTGTGTTAATGTCTGTAGTCATTAATGCATATTTGTTTTAAATAATTCGGATTACGTTTTTCAGAAATTAAGTAATCAAATAATTACAGTCTACATATTACAAAGCCTGAGCTGCTGGCTTAAGACGAACATAAATATCACTAAATAGCTCTCGAATTCTTTCACAGATTTTGCATTATTAATCAGAATTCTGGTTTATATTAAGTTTACCCTTAAATGTGCAGATGATGTAGTGACTGACGTTTAGCGCATAATACCTTACTATTTTCTTTTAGTGTTAGTGGTTTGTAAAGTTACATTACTGACTTACAGTGAAGAATAAAGGAATAGCTTCATTCAAGTTTTTATTCCTGATATACTGATACTGAATGAGACCTAAAAACACTTTTCTTTTACAATATATCTCCCATTATGATACCTAACCCACCCTTTTTCCCCCCTTCGCAATTAACGTCAATGTCCCATTCTTGACCGCATTTGAGACGCCACCGACAACTTTACCATTTTCGAAAATTTTGGAGATTAAAAGAAAGACCAATGTTTTAAAATCATTTGCTTTTATTCCAGTTAGTTGGGTGGAGTCATTTCAAGTAACATTTATTTGCAGATAAGCCATTATGAGTCGTATTCTTATCAAACATTGATGAACTAATTTTGCAAACATTGTTTTCTACAATAAAGTTAACATTTTGCATAAAATAAATTTAAAAATTTCTTTTTTTAAATATTTTATTTTTCTTAAACCAATTAAAGGAAATGATATCCTCTTGTTTCTACAGTAAAGGAGTAAATTGATATGTAAAAATTTTAAATGGTGAAATATAGTGAGTAAATAAAAATAAAGAAATATTACTGTTTTTTAAACAATTGCCATTTTTAAACTAGTTAAGTATTTTTTAGATAGAAGATGGAAAATGCGTGATGAAAATTAATCGAACCTAAATGGGTAAATAATTAAAAATTAGTAATTTATGAAAAAGAATTATGAAATTAAAAATTTTCGCATAATATCCTATGCAATGTTAATTTCTAGTTCCTTAACTCTTTTATTGAATATTATCAACATCGGGGTGGATGCCTCTGATACTCACAGAATGCCAAAAATTACTTAGGATGTACCTCAAAATTTAATTAACCAACTAATTGAAATTCTTAGTACTGCCTCCTCTTTGTATATTATTCATTCTGAAGGAACGCATTTGATGTAAGTAGATTTGCAGTAGCGAGCGCTATTGTGATTTGCAGAGTGTCTAGCTGGCTGACACGTCGCTGGATTGTGTTCCCTAATACAGGAAGGACTTTTATGACTATAACGTCTTTATGATGGGGTCACTTTGAATCAGTCGACCCGAAAGCCCTCTCGAGAGGCTTTGTCAAAATTGGGATGTAACTTAAGCAGCGCGGGGGGGGGAAGAATCTAATTGAAAATCTTGAATTTTAATTTTTGGTCCCTCTTAAATTTGAAATTGGACCCTTTATTTCTAATATAATAAATATGATTTTTATTTCTTTTATATAAAATTTGTATATTAAGTTAACCCTCTCCCCCTCCCCGGGAAAAAAAGGAAAAGAGGAATATTCATTAATATGGTGAAAAATGAATGCTTAAACTTTTTTTTAATATTTTTTTTTATTACTCCAAACACGTACGGTTTCCAAACTAACATTTTGTCACGGCTTAAGCGACACAATTTTGTTTTATATTTAGGCCATAAAATATGTACGACTGAACATAAATTATAATGAAATCTTTTCTTTTCTTTTCTTTTTTTTTTTTTTCTTTTATATCTTTGGTTGATCTGCCAAACAGCTTTAAGGGAAAAAAATCTGAATTATGCTTTTAACATATTACAGAAATATCTTTAATCACCTGCTCGAATAGCACTCTTCCCCTCCTCCCGTTCCGCCTAAATATCTCACCAAGTGCGATTTAACTCAAATTCTTCATTGTATGAAAGAGAAGCTCTGAAAAGTGCACCTACTTAAGGCAACGACGTTCTTCTGTGCGGAAATTTATTGCTTTGCAGGGCTATATCAAGCCGGTAGGATGTCAAGAAGTAAATAAAAAAATACAGCGTAAAGAAAAGGTGTGGCAAGAGATAGTACCACGTGGTTGACCTTGGACCGACATACGGAAATGTTTTCTTTGGGTGTGGTAACGCCCTGGCTCTACAGTTGCAGTTACCGTTGGGGTTACCATGAGAGAAGTCACTAGTCGCCAATATATCCGTTTAGGGAAATACGTTGTGCAGGGGTAAAATTGAGTACACATAATTTTTTCCCCTTTCCTTCTTTCCTATCAGTTCTGGCAAAGACAATCGACGGGATGAAAGGTGAAAGTGTTTATGTTTCAAGTACTTTAACGAGCTCTTTTTAAAAGCTTGCATTTTAGCTTAACCTTACCTCTGCTTCTTTTGCTCTTGTCCCTACGCAAGCTTACATATTTATTATAATTTATGCTCTAATTTTAAAATTTACATGTAATTACATGTTTTTTATATAATATTATCCATGCTTATATATACTTTCTATATACGCAAGTTTTTACAGGAATTTTATGCTTCAAATACCAAAATATCAGATTTGCTTCAGTACCTACAACCATTCACACAACTTGTTTACCGCTTTTATCTTATTATATGGCACTGTAAGGAGGAAGGAATGACGTGTGAAACCTGTTTTTTTTTTTTTTTTCTTTTTTGGTCTGTTATTTATAATCGATTATTTATTTACAGAAATTATAAAACCTGTATTTTTACATTTATTAACATAAAGAGACTTTGCAGAGTCTACTTATGCTAGTAAAACGACGCTTGTTGCTTTTACTTTTGGGCGAATAACAACTGACTTTTCAAAATGTAGCATTCAAAACAAACTCTCATATTATATTCTTAACATTCCACCTCTTTAAGTGTGATATTTTCATGTCCTTGTTCTGTCTGTTCCTCACTCACTGGAAATAGCATATGAGAAAATGGCTGAACTGCGTTTTCGACAAATAAATTTCATTACTCACTAAACACTAACGCTTTAAAAAATTTCAAATAGTTTAATGCAATACCTACTTAGGGACTTTATTATTCCTAATGAAATTACCAATCTCAATTTTGAAAGGAACCCAAGAATTTTTTTCCCGATTTCAACGGACGGTGATAAATAGTTCTCATCTAACGAGCTTTCCGTTCGCTTAAGTTCGGGATTAAAAAAAAAAAAAACTCTTCCTAAGTCCTGTTTCTGGTAGCTGGGAATTCTTTAGTGCACTCGAAGTATTTTTAGTATTTTAAGCTTTTAAGAAACTTTCATGAAGCACAGTTCTCCATATGAAAGTAGCAAAGGTATTTACTATCGACAAAGAATTTATGAAAAATATACTTTCCCCTGTGACCTATAGATCTATTTGTCTGCCCTTAGTTTTTGGTCTCAGTGCTTGGTCTTTCGTTTCCTACCCAAGTCACAAGGAAACGTGATATGTCGCATTTCGCTACTGTTGCCGTTGAAGTGCGCGCAATAACTTAAGATGTCGATAGATCATCGAGTCATTTTTACTCTAATCAGTTCTTAATTCTTGGTTTCCCTGGAGTTATATTGGCTTCCAAGCGTTAACACTAAAAGAGCCGAATTTCGGACTAACCGAAAACCGCAATTGGGGGTCAATTTGACCCTCATAAGAAATGCAAGTAGAAACACAGTAAATGATTGAAATGACCACATAAAAGAGTTTTTAGAGGTTTTTATTTATTTTTTATACTTTAGAATTTTTTTTCGTGCAATTAGTGCAAATTAGCACACAATATCTTTCAATGTAAGATTACACAAAAAAAAAAAAAAAAAAAAAAAAATCTATGGAAAACAGACAAAAGATACAAATGCAAAATTGGAAAATAGAACATATGCAAAAAATTACAAAAAAACATAAATTGGGAATAAACACACAATGTTTTCCAAAGTTTGTTATACATAACCGCAGGTGATACAATGTGAACGCTTGACAGTGACAGCAACACTTTTTACCACAAATTGGTTTCTGGCATCCCTCACAGCTGACAACAGTCTTGTTTTGCAACTTTGAAATGCACATTTCTTTTGTTTAAGTGTCTGTATTTGAGCAATTGGGGGGCATCTGTTGCGTAGTGCACCAACTTGTAGTTCCACGAGTGCAAGAATAAATTCTCGACGGGAAATAGAGGTGCTCAAGGATTCTTTGAATATATAAACCAAGCATTCAGTGCAGCAATGTCAAGGACGTTGTAAAAAACATGTACAGGCCATCTGCGACTTCCACTACTTGTATTATATTTCTTCAGCATCTGATCTGCGACATCAACGCCACATTTTGTACTGTTGTAGTAAGTGACAGTGTTCGGTTTTTTCTTTATGCTGTTGTCAAAAAACACATTACTGTGCATCGTGCTCAGAATTACGACATTCTTTTTGCTCTTGCACCTATATATTGTGAGTCTTTTGTCTCCATTTTTCACTGCAAAAGATGAATATCGTGCCGAAGAAGTGTCACGAACAATAGGGGGTAATTTTCGCTTATTCAGACGCATCGTCCCGACAATTGTGGTTTTTTTCGCAGAAAGTTCATCTGCAAGTTTCACAGAAGTAAAAAAAATTGTCAGTTTGCAGTGACATTGAGTCCGGAGTTTAGAGTGTAGTTTGATGTGGTTGCAGTAATTTGAGAACTACACTCTCCCCAAGTTGTAAATTAGTTGGTCGTTCTTCATCCTTGCCCAGATAAGGATAACCATTCGAAACATATTTGGATTTTGCAACAGTTGCTAGCCAGAATTTGATGCCAAACTTGTCTGGTTTATTTGCCATCTGGATAAATCTACATCTTGATTTACAAGGCAACAATTGTTCATCAACGGTTATTTCTGGTCCAGGATTATAGCATAAATAACAGTTTTCCGTTAGCTTGTACCAGATTTCAGAAGCGAGAGCAAATTTGTTAGTAGCGAGACGATCAGGTCTGGTGCTTCGGACATCGAATCTGAGATACCGCGTTATTTCACGGAAACGATTGCGTGACATTGTTTCTTTGAACACAGGTGATCCCCAATTCTTGTTCCACAAATCATCTGCACGAAGTTTTGAATGGCCAGGTGTTCCACGGGCATACATGAGGGCAAAAAAGGCATCAAGTTCTTCCAGAGTAGTCTTCCAGAGTAGCCAGTTACTATCATCTCTAAAATGGCATCGTGCCTCAGCAACTGCACATGATTGAATGTGTTTCACCATTGATTCACTCACCATCAAACGCCACGCTGAAGCAGGATTTGTTCCTATATTACGACGTGCAAACGACGTTGGTCCACTTGCAGTGGTTACAATATTTCGAACTGGCGTGCGACCTGAAGTGGAAGCGGTGCTGTTAAGGTTCATAGGGGTCCAGAAAATACCGATGGATGAGGTATACTTCTCATTACTGCTGCCAGCAACGTTGTTGCCTCGTCCTTGACCACGACCACGCCCACGTCCGGGTCTACGTGAGCTTCTGGCTTCCCGCATAGGGATCACATTTCCAGAATTGTCCTCGACATCACTATCACTGCTTTCAGAGAGCGACGCATTCTGTAAGTTCACATCAACGTTAAAATCTTCATCACTGCTATCATCACTACTTATATCTGATTCCAAATGTTCAAGGAGGGCAAGGCACTCTTGTGTACTCAATCCTCTTCCTCTCGGCATTGCAATGGAGAGAGAATATGCTCTGGATTTTATTTTCTCCCCTGGGTCATCGCGATAAGAGCTGCGTGTTTCCCAATGCGCAGAAAACGAAAACGTGGCATCGGGAATTCGAAAACGGACATTCGCTTAAAAATATGTCGTTTTTCTTATGAGGGTCAAAATGACCTCAGTTGGCTGTTTTAGGTATCTCTGTGATTATTTATTTAAATAATTAACGTAGAAATATGAAAAATTGGCATAGTATACTTGGAAACATTCTAGAAAAAGTAAAAAAATATCAGCTTTGAAGCTCAGCTGTATGTTAAAAAAAACGCGGAAAATTGAAAAAAAGGTCAAAATGACCCCAACGGCGCTTCTAGTGTTAAGCAACAAAAGGAAAAGTTAGCATATTCGGTGAAAGAAACAACATGTAGTCACTTAAATGTGCATCTATAACACGTGTACGTACGCGAAGATCAATCCCCCTCCCAAATTTAGCATAAATGAAAAGACGACATAGTCTGAGTGACGCTACGTGATAGCAAGTAGCAGGCTCCAAGCAGCCAGTGATTGCCCGAAGTAACTCAAATTCTAAAAGTCAATCGTTCCGTCATTTGCCACTTGTGGAATCGATATCAAAGAAACAAATGTGTCGCGAAGACCAGTGAGGGGACATCCAAGGGTCAAGCCATTCAGGATGAACTTTAACTGTATCTGCAAACATGGTGCCACACTTCAATCATTATTCTTCAACTTGCTTCTGATCTTGCAGCGTCGACAAAAAGAGGTGTATCTCCGCAAATGTTTACAATCTTGGGGTTAGATTAGATGGGGAGTTATAAATTAGATGGGGAGTGTTTTGCGTACAACTAACACCCATGTACAGAGAGACCTCCTGATATTATTCGCGAGATCATCTCAAGTGAGCTTCACGACAATGGCATTCTATTTTCTTTACGGATGAGTCATGTTTTGTTCTACAGACTGATTCCTGACGATTGTTGGTTTGAAGAATCCTTGGAACTCGCTACTAGGGCATTAAGATCCGACAAGTGCACCAATCTAGATAGAGGTGATTTTTTTTGAGCGGGCCTGCTATTGAGACCCGCTCTCATCTCCAGATATTTCCTAGCGCACCAGAGCTGTACAGGTATAAATTATTTGTTCAGTACGTTTACCCATTTTTCGCAGTCACGGGTCCTGATACCATTTTTTGCCGATAATGTACGAGTTCAGAGAGACGGCATTGTTGCCCAGTACTGCTTCGTATAGAACGGCCATCGAGATCACCCACAACTTGAATACCATCGAGCATGTTCGAAACATGATTGAAAGGTACTTATTTATTCTCTATGACCCTCCTTATTTCTCACCAGACATCTCTAAGATCTAAGAAATGTCCATTCCGTAAATCAGCACTAATACTCCAAACTGCCATAGAAGATCTTATATAAAGCACGCTGTTATGCTTGGAGCAGGAGGGGTACCGAAAATCTTACGTTCTCCTTACTACTGTTGTTTCTCTGTTCATTTTTTATTTATTTTTGCGTTTTTTTTTTTTCCCTGCTTCTCCATGCTAGTGCCTTTTGTTATACCCCATAATATATGGCAGTTTTAAGGAATTCGAATAGAACCTTTTCTTTTCGTCCACTTTTTAAATTTTATTGTTTAATCTTTTGATAGTCATCAATGAGTTCAGCTCGCATTCCAGTTACGCACCACAGTGGGCGCAAACGAATCCATCTCTCATTACAAATATACGATTGACAGATATCGCGCGTATTTGGGAAGAAAGTCTTGTTTAATCTTGCAACCGCCGAAGGGTTATTTTTTGCACATGAGAATGTACCAAGTGTTCATCGGATACAGAAGTATGCTTTATCATAAAGCAGAAAAGAACATTTGTTAGACTACTAAAATAAATAATATATAATTTAAAAAATTATAAATATTATCAAAAAAATAAGTATTATAAAAATATTATATTAATGTATTAAGATATTATACAGGTAAAAAACGTTCTTTTTTATAGTAGAATCGTGTATTCTATGCGCGATTTTACTATAGTCAGTCTGTGAAGACCAGTATACTCCTAAATAAGTCAGAAAATATACATTATATATACTCCTAAATAAGTTTGCCATGTCATTTGGCTAAAAGAAGCACAGCTTTCTCAGTTTGATTCACAAAATTTTCTCTAATGTAAAGATCTGAGTTTTTCAACTCAAGATCTCTGAAATTTAATCTAGAGTGTGATATAGTTTACACAAATAGCTTCAACCAACACTTTACACTTTACTTGGCTTTACAACTTCAGCTGCGCGCACCAATGGAAATTAATAATATTTTATGCAATATTAATATGTTATTATCGTTCATCACCATACTATGAAAATTTATTATGTTAGTATCTATATTATTTTATATTAGCTCTTATTTAGTGCAACAGTTGAATTATTTAGTCCGACAGCTAATGAGAAAAATGAAGAAAAAACTTGCATTAAACTTCCTTTTCCTTAGCTTCATTTTCTTGCTCTTTACTGTTTAAATCTATTAAAAACTATTTTTTTTCTTTTGAAAGCTTAGTTATTCAAGTTTTCAAATTAATTGTCGCTGATGTCCACGCATTTTTTAAGGCTGTTGATTCGTGTAATTTGCGAACGAGAAGATGTCGTTCACTGGATTTTTGGAGTTAATCAGGTTCATGATCCACATTTATTCTTTTGATTTGGCGCAAGACGCTTTGTTTTCCCAACTTTGATTGAAAATCAAGACTCCTGTGCGTAGGAAAAGTTCCGACAATAGAAGTGACGTCATCAGAACAGTTAAGAAAAATTCGGTATGTATGGACATCAGTAATGGTTTTGTGGCATAACCTAAAATTTTTAACGGAAAAAAATAACCAAATATATCAGTAAGCAAATAAAATGACTATCTAAACTATTTCTGTGAAATCAAACGCATATTTGGATCTTCCCGTCCATACCATTTAGAATAAATTATGATTGTACACTGTGCAAAATTATCCTTATGTTTAGATGCACAAAAATGAGACTGAACCAATTTATTACCATTTACACGTTAAGAGCCAAAATGCTTTTATGTTATGGTCAAAGAAAACTAAGCAATACATATTACAAAAATCGCAGAAGCTAATTCAATCTCCGCAATTTCCCGTAATACCTAACATGAGAAGTTTAAAAATGACCCGATTTTGCGATATTGCGGTTCATTTCACTTAACTTGAAATATTGCTCCAGAAGTCAAGCAGTTAACCTAGCAAATCATTAAAAACATGGGGGAGATACACAAAAGTAAAGAAGAAACATGCATATCGTTCATCACTTGTTTATGCTTAATTTAATATGTACTGGATCAGCCTTCCATTAATGGTTTTGACATTTTTTGGCTTTTACGCATGATTGATATTACAGCATGTCTTCAGCGATCGCTAATCTGACTTGCTTGCCACACCTCTTTCTTTTCTGTGTTGGTGTATACGCATTTGCTGCCATAGATTAATTAACATTTCGCTTTTCCTACTAGCAGATGCATAGACTATTGGTATAAATCACTGCTCTTGACATGCGCAAGAAAATATTACACCTTTAGGTTTTAAATTCAAACAGTATATAAGAAAGATTGAAATTGAATAGTATTTTTCAATATACGGAAAAGCACTCCAGGACTTTTGAGAGCCAGTGTAATTCTGCAAAATAGTGCTCCACCTCTTCAAAAAAAGTAACGCAAATTAACAGAGATTTTCTCTTGAAAACTTTGTGTGCCATATAAGTGTATCATATACGAATTACATTAAAAATAATATTTATAAATCTGATCGCGTCAAAAACTCAACCCAAAACCTTCTGTACAG